TGAAGGCTCTGGATCTTCGGATCCCCGTCCCTATTCCATATCTGCTAACCATTTCCGAAGCGGCTAACAAAAAGTTGATCGAACGGTGCCTCAAAAACAGGCGCTGATTCGAGGAAAACCGAAAGGGCAAAAAGTCGGTCCTACAGGATCCACCCACTAACGAGGAGTCACAGCCCTCGACCTCAGAGGTGCACGAAGCCGACCGGATAGGGATGATCCAGACCGTAGATTCCACCTTGGAAAACCCCGAGGTATTCCTCCGGGCCTATCCTATAACCTGAAAAAGCGTAGAGTGTGACTGTGAGGTCTGGGGAAACCCCTCGGCCGCCATCCTAGACTCGGGATCATCGGCGGTTGCCATTTCTTGGAGATTGACGAAACAGTTGGGAAGGGAAGGACAGGTTCAGCCCCTCCGACCGGATGAACTGTATATATCCGCTACAGAAGATAGTATTCATTGTAAAGGGCGAATAACGAACGTGCCTATACGGGTGGGGCGGGTGCATTGTTTGTGTGACGTGATCGTGCTGGATGTACAGGCGTATGATGTCCTGCTAGGCATTCCGTGGAAGGCGGCAGTCGGAGCGAGAATGCATTTTGACAGCTGTAAGGTGGTGCTCACATCGGCCCACCCCAAACCCCAAACGATACCAATGAGACTGGCAGTGCGCATGCGTACCCAGCCGGCGCCTCGCCTCACCTCGAAAGCCCATCAAATCAACTGATCCGACGCCTGTCGCTAGACGAAAATGAACCCTCGACGGAAACTGACAAGACTGATGTACCCGACCGATATCCGATTCCGAGTTCAGGATCCGTGGCGCCACTCTTGGCGGCGAGAACCACTGGAAATAGTTCGGAGCGAGTCCAATTGGTCGCACGCGTTCTCCTCCGTGGTGCAGGGGGAACCCCTGCTGAGGGTGTCCTGAATAGCTGACCTTTCGGAACCCCCTGCGTCCTTGTATCTCAGGACGGACCCCCTACCTCAAAGATTTACCGAGCTGACGGGGCTGTGCGATTTATCTTTTCGACCTCCACGGCCCCTACTCACAAATGAAAAAGCCGCGATACTCCTGAAAGAAGGGGTGTCGTTTCAACCCCGAACGAGGGAGTATCGGTGGGGACCGAGGGAACTGGCGCAGGTCTTTTCGGTCGAACCCTCGGCCGAACCCGAACTGGACAGTGACAGCGACATGGAAAGTGAGTCGATGAGTCCGGCGGACAGCCAACTTATTGCGACGGTCCTTTCGGCGAAAACCGACAACTCTTTGTTTGGGGCCTCGCCCGACGCCAACGCGGCGGTCCCCACGGTTACGACGACGGTCTCCTTTCTTGGGGGAACCGTAGAAGTTCAGTTACCAGCCCATGTTCCGGATAAATACAAACGCCTCCTCTTGGCGGTTATACGGGCCTATCTTGAGGCCGTCAGTATTCAGGACCACGACATAGGGCTAACCCCTTTGATACAACACGCGATTGACACCGGGGATCACGCCCCGATACATTGTCAACTGTACCGATATTCCCTTAAAGAAAGGCAGCTGGCGTTGGAAAGGGTACGAAAATTCGAGCGGTTGGGGTGGGTCGAACTATTGCTGGGACCATGGTCTTTTCCCGTGGTCCTCGTGCCAAAATGAAATGGCTCGGTTCGGGTATGTATCGACTACCGAAAACTGAATGCCATCACTACCAAAGAGGTGTATCCTTTGCCGCGAATCGATGATTTGTTAGACGCTATTGGGCCCGCTCGAGTCTTTTCCAAGTTCGATATCTGACACGGTTTTCACCACGTCGCAGTCCGACCGGAGGAGCGACCCAAAACCGCCTTTGTCCTTTTTGAGGGCACGTGGCAATGGGTCCGGTGTCCCATGGGAATTTGTAACGCCCCTGCAACGTTTCAGCGGGCCATGAATATGGCCTTCGCTGAGTTCGTTGATAAAACCCGACTGACCCAACCCCTGATCAATTTCTGCGTGATTGTGTACATGGATGATATTTTGGTCTTTTCAAAAACACATGAGTACCACGTGGAACACATTGAGTGGGTTTTGCATGCACTAAAAGATGCGGGGTTCAAAGTGGCCTTGGAGAAAAGGGAGTTCTTCTTGTTGGAGATCTCATTCTTGAGGTATATCGTCACGGTCGACGGACTAAAACCGGATCCAAGGAAGGTGGCAGCAGTTCAAGACGCCCCGACGCCGGTCACACTCACCCAGGTTCGGGCTTTTCTAGGCCTGGCATCCTATTACCGACGCTTCATCAAGAGGTTCGCCGGCATAGCGAAGCCCCTCACGAACCTGCTGAAGAAAGAGGAACATATGATCTGAACGCCGGAATGCGAAGCGGCGTTTCAGGCGTTGAAGGAGGCTTTGACATCTGCTCCTGTGTTGGTGCGCCCCGACCCGACAAGACCATTCACACTGTACACAAACTGGCAGCCTGAGGCGATATCGGCGGTGCTGACTCAACACGGCAAGGACGGAAGTGAGCACGTCATTCAGTATGCGTCCAAGACGCTGAGCCAGGCGCAGGCTAATTACGAAGCGTGCAAAGGTGAATGGCTGGCGGTGGTGTGGGGGATTCAGCATTTCCGACCGTATCTGTACGGCTAGAAATTTGTGCTGGTTACGGATCATCAGCCGCTGCTGTCCCTACGCAACAACACGGACTACATGGGGATGCTGGGCAGGTGGGTGGTGCATCTGCAAGACTATGACTCGACATCCGCCACCGTGCCACGCGGCAGCATGGTAACGCCGATGGATTAACGTGCCTTCTGCCGCCCAACAAATGTCCCGCCAACGAGCGACTCATTCTGTGGAGGCCAGAAGTCGCTGCGACAAAACCGCACTACGGGGAGCTACACGTGCTGCGTAAGGACGACGCCTGAGTCCGGAATGGAGGTTTCATAGGAGATGGTCGACGCTATCTCTCTGCCCTCATCCCACTCCCTCGCTCTCTCGTCTAGCCCCAACTCGTCCTCTGAAACACACCTAAGTCCCTGTTTCTTCTGTACCTTGCCTATGATCCCGGACCAAGAAGGGTCACATCCGGGAGGGCCCAGTTTTCTTTTATGGGTACAGTGTAGTCAGTGTTATACGGTCAAATCTCACGGACAGTGCGTTAGGTACCGAAGTGAAAAGACGTGGGTCTGTCCCAACTGTAGAACGGACCAAGTCCCTAACGAGAAGCGGTATCTGGACGCTAGAACAGCCGACAGATTTGCGCCAAGTGCCCGCCGGGCAGAAGCCTGGATGGACCTTTTGTTGCTATGGAGACTGTCAGGCGACTCGTTGTCAGAACTTACCAAAGCCGAACGGCGGAGAGTCACGGAGCGGGCGCAGGACTATCGCTGGCAGGGCCCGACGTTACAAAAACGGAAGGTCGATGACGACGGAGAGTCTAGCTGGTTGACGGTTCCACACCCTCTTGCTAGGTTCGATTGGACACGAGCCGCTCATGAGGAGGATGCGGTCCATTTCGCGGTCAAGTACACGAAAAAAGCCATCGAAAAGAATGGATGGTACTGGTCAGGAATTCGGGAAGATGTGAAATACATTGTTCAGAATTGCCCGGCCTGCGCGGCGGACAAGGCGCCGGTACAGATGGCTCGGACGATGGTGCCCACTCGTGTAGAGCGCCCCTTTCAGAGGGTTAGCATCGATACGACGGATATCAACGTTCCGAGAGGGCCCGTCGATCACGGAGAACTCAATGTTCTTTTAGTGGACGTCGATCATTTTTCAAAATGGATCGAGGCGTACCCCATAACCAGCCGTAATTTGTAGGAAGTAGCCTGGTACGTAAATCGATTTTTGTGCATGCATCTAGACGTAGAAGAGGTACACATGGGCAATGGGTCGGAATTTCAAGGCGAAGTAGAACATCACCTAGTCAGGGCGGACGTTAAGATTATCTACTCGTCGGGGCATTGGCCTCAAGCCAACGGCCTGGTAGAGAATGCCAACCGACTGATTAAGACGGCCCTTAGACGGAATATCATTGCGGGAGACACCCGACCCTGGCCGGTCATTGTCGACCACATTTTGGCCGTTTATCGGGTCACCCCACACGGTAGTACTGGGGTGTCCCCCTTTCAACCGAGAACCAATAGTGTCCCTCGCGTGCAATTGTCCCCCATAGTAGGTACGGGAGTTAAGAGCAACACGGGCCTAGAATCGAGACAAGGCCCGCCACTACATGGACTTAATGGCTAGGGCCTATCCCCCGTTAGCTCGCCGACGACAGCAGGCTGTAGATCGGACACATCAACGACAGATCCGTGACTATGAGAATCGACACGCGTCGGCGGGACCACTGCCCCGCTATAAAGTTGGGGACGAAAATTTGCGCGCTCCTCCAAGATCCACCCGCGCTACACAGCATTTATGAGGTAACGGAAGTTGGCGCACAGGGACAGCACTCCGTGAAGCTGATTCCCCGTCACAACTCCCAGGCCCGACCGCTGACACGGCACGCGGCTGCGTTCCGGACTATCCAATTATCGCTAGGTCCCTTGCGGACCCCCGCTCCTGCGAGATCACCCTCTCCTTCTTCATCCTCATCCTCCCCCTCGTCCCGATCTGCCTCGTCCATTGGTGCTGAGAGTTTCAGGGAGCAGGATGAACCATCGCCAGCCGGAGCATGAGCCCCTCGAGCATTTCCAGACGCCGCTTGCAGATCGCCTGTTGCGGCATCGGTTCAATGAGGAGAGGCAGTTGTGGTACGACATTCAACAGGTGAACGTGTCGGCACCCGGGGTTGCGGATTTGGCGGCGTACTCGTTGCTTTGTAATCGGCTGACATATGCAGGGGTGTACGTGGACGTGACGCAATTGCCTGGCCGGGAGACGAACCGAGTATTCATTGAGTTCCGTGCGCTCCAGGTGGCACCCAACTTCGTGCACAGCGTCGCCACCTTCATCGGAGACTTGACGGTCCTACCGCAGCAGAATCGGGAGCCGGCGCGCAGCTTTGTGCGCGAATACGCGGTGGAAGCGGCCAGATCAGTGGCCAGAGTGCAAGGACGGGGGGGACACCGATTCACAGCCCACGAAGTGCTGCTGCGTAGGGCAGAGGACAGACCGATTGCGTTGGTGCCGCAGCTCCCCGAGCTTTTCCCTCCCGCTGCTCCTCTCAACCTCCAAGTTATTCCCCCTGTCCCATACTAAATGCCTCCTTTCTTTTCCTACACCACCCTCCCCTACCAGCTCACGGAGGGCCCTTACCCTATGCGCGAGTTCTCGGAGTATTTGGTGGAGCTAACTGACGTGGAACCGCTGCCCTTCACCAACGAAGACGCGTGGGAGTTGCACCGTGCGCTGTACAAGTCTGTGGCGCTTGGGATGTTCCGGTTCTTCGTGGATCACGAAGACCAGGCTATCGGGGAGCACTTCGTCGTTTACTACGTCATCGCGTGGCCCAAGCCAGCGGAGAAGGAAGGGACGGTGGCGCTGTACCCCTTCGCCCCGCTCCAAACAATCAATCCGGGATTGTTGGAGCTCATACATCTTGAGCTCCTCTCCATTGCACAAGTGATCGCGAGCGAGGAGGAGGAGATCCAACCACAATTGCGGACGACGACGGCCCCGCGGAGAACGTACAACGCGGTCGTTATCCCGGATTACATTGCGCAGCGCGCGGAGAGATTGGAGGACTTCCCAGAGGAAAGGCCGTTGCGTCCTCCCTCGTCGTATCCTCGACCAGCGCCACCGAAGGCCCCCAAGAAGACGTCGAAGAGGAAGAGACGCCACCCGTCGCCAGGAGCGCAAGGCAGCAGGATCGGCGGCGGCGAGGAGGTGATTCAGCCCGCGCGTACACGGATTCCTGACCCTGTGCCTGGGAGTGCGGCGACGCTCGTTAAGGAGACTATCGTGCCATCGCCGCCCATTCTGCGTGTGCCCGATCTCAATCTTGATGGATCCGGGCCATCATCATCATCAGCAGCCGGAGGAGGAAGCCGAATGGGATTTCCGGATCCCATATCCAGACCCCCCGTCCTCGCAGGACCTCTCCGTTCCCGCCAGCCACCCCGGGGTGCCCCGGTCATTGACATTAGTAGTTCATCCGAGCCAGACGGTCCATCCGACCGAGGTGGACTTCATGGTGGAGCCCGCCACCATCAGGCTCGAGGCCATCGCGGGGGCGCCGCGCCCTGATCCGGCATGGGAGCCATATCGAACACCCCCTTTCCAAGGGTGTATTGCAGCGCGATTGGCTGGGACGCTCATTTACGAGACCGGGCAGCGTCCAAACGCGATGTACCACTTCCTGGTCTTCGCGGCGCAGAAGCGGGAGCGGCGGCCTTACACCGAGACTCATGTGGTGATGACGGGTCCAGGGCCCTGATCGGTGCGCAAGCGGGTGGTGCGAGCGGTAGCGGATCTGGCGCCACGTGTCCTCTCACATGTGCCGGGGGCTTTCCTTTACCCCTCATTCGTCCAGCATCACTTCCATGAGGGAGATGCGTCGACGACTCCTGCGGCAATGGCCGCTTTTCTTCCACCTATTCTGCCCCCTCTCAATCCCGACATAGATCACTTCCTCAAATAACCCTCTTCTACCTCTCCCCTGTCCTCTCCTTCTCCTTCTCTTCTGATTCTTCTTCTTTTCCGATCTAAAGCTCGCGCGACGATACGCGCTGTGTAAACAAAAAAATAAAAAATAAAAAAAATAAAAAAAAAATCTTTTTACTTACCGATCGGGCCAGCTAACGATGAAGGGGCCGCCCGATCGAATGTATACTATGGGAGGAGGCGATGGAGGATGCAAGATGCATCCGCGTAGATTAGAAAGATGATCAGGCCAGCTGACGATGAAGAGGCCGCCCGATCATCCATGATATGATGACCCCCTGCGTATCACAGATGTGATAAGCTCAGATCCGTACCGCGCGGCTTGCCGTATCCCTGGGGGAAAATCCCGCGGAAGCCCCGAAATATGGGCGCGGATAGAAAGGGGTTTTTCTTTCTTTTTGCTTTTGTTTTCTTTTTGAAACGGCTTTTTTATTTTGTTTGGTTAATAACTCCCGCGGGCGAATAGTGGCTGCGGTATGAAAACCAAGAAACGGGTGCGGTTGGGACTTTTTGAATTTTTGCGTGCGCGCCCAAGCTCCGATTTCTTCGCGTGTCTCGCATCCCCGTTTCTTGCTTTGCATCCT